TATTGAAAGCACCCTTTTTTTTATTTTGAGCAAATTTGAATGTAAACTCATATGTATAAGGATGATATTGAATATCTTGATTGAAAGTCTAAACTCCCAACCAGTAAGCTTAAGATCCGTTGGGAACAATTTTCAAGCTTCTTTGTTTTTCAGACATCAGCCACAATTTCGTTTGGCTACTACTTTCTTATTCCTTTCACTTTTTTTTTACATGTAAAACTGCTCTTTGCAACTAGAATAACTAAAGCTTTGTTTGGGACGGCTTTTCTTACTACTTCTTAAATCAGTTATTCAGTACAAAATTTTTATTTTTTGTACTAGAAAGTTGTTTTTAAAAAGCCGCCCCAAACTAAGTCTAAATTACTTTCCTTATATTAACTTCACAACTAATTTTATAAAATATTACAGTCATTCCAAACATATTCTAAGATAGACTACAATTAAACATTAAATTATCTATCCCAAACAAAGCCTTAGAATTAGTCAATCTTTATTTAATTTTTCGTAGGATGAGGCACATGCTAGAGAATGCATTTTTTCCTTATTAATCACTAGCAATAGTGACAACACCTTGACTTCTTTGTGATGAGTCTTTAAGAAGCTCATTCTTCTTTGGGACCACATCAACTCACATATAAAGATAAAAATAAAAATGTGACATCTCACCAACAAGACTTGATATTCTTATTTAGAAGTTTTTTAATGCCCTTTGTAGAAAATCTTTGAGTAATAAGGTTATTAGCCTATTCATATTCTTCAAAAGAATTCTAACACATATTACCACTCAAAATGGAGTTCACATCTCATACAAAGTATTGTGTCCTGGAAAATTCGTAGTAATAAAGAGATAAAGAGTTTAACGTCTTAACTTTGAATGAAGATCCAGCACACATACAGATAAAGTGAGAGGGGTGCAAGAGTTATAAGATACACCATAATTTTTTCATAGAAAATCCTAAAATGAGAGAAAAATCATGGGGCCATGCCCAATTGAAATGAATCAATTCGTGTTTGTTTTTCATTATAAATGATGTCCTTCCTCGGGGAAAGGTCTTGGCTCAATGTAGAAAATATATAGCATATTACATAGTTGGGGTTGGAAGATTTCAATGATATGAGAGATTTTGTCAAGATAACGTTGGTCTATTTTTTTGGTTGGTAGAATCATAGTTGTGCGATGGTGAGGGACCTTAGTTTGTGGGCGACGGTGTTCTGAGGGATTATAGCCAACGAGCGACGGTGATCCGAGGGACCATAATTAGCGGGTAATGGTGGCCGGAGGGACCATAGTTAGTGGGTGACGGTGGCCGGAGGGACCATAGTCAACCGGCGACGTACATTGGAGGGACCGAAGTTGGCAGGCGATGGTGGTCGGAGGGATAGTAATCATCAAGTGACGTAGGTCAGAGAGACCTAAGTTGGCGGACGATAGTGGTTAGAGGAACTGTAGTTAGTGAGCGATGGTGGTATGAGGGATCATAATCAGGGAACGACATAGAACAAAGGGACCGTAGTCGGCAAGCGACGAAGGTCGAAGGAGGGATTAAGGGGGATTGTACGGTCGATGGTGGCCAGAGGGGCTATAGTCGGCAGGCTAAGAAAGTTGGAGGGATTGTAGTCAGCGGGCGACGATGGTGGGAGGGACTGTAGTCAACGGGTGACAGTGGTCAAAGGGATCGTAGTTGGTGGGCAGTAGTGGTTGGAGGGACCGTAGTCAGCTAGCGATGTAGGTAGAAGGGACTGAAGTCGGCGAGAGATAGTGTCGGAGGGACCATAGCCAGCTAGTGACATTGGGCTCAGCCCCTTGATTTAGACCCATTTAAGCTCAAATTTGACCGATTTTGTTGTCGTTTTGCTCGTCTCACTGAGTTGCTCAACTTGATTATAAGTTTTCTAAAATTTGAGTTTACATGGTCCCGAATTTAATTTTTGAAGTTACTAACTTGAAATGCCTCGAGATTTGTGTTCAATAAAAAAAAAGTGTTACGTACCACTAAGGATATTTCATCTTAGGATGTAAACTATTGACGATTAATTAAATATTTGCTTTTCTACAACTAAATCGTTCATTTTTTATATGATGAAACCTTTTGACAAATAAAAATTATAATAGTAAAGTAGTAAGAAAATTATCCCAATTATATCCTAATTCTACACAGTTCACTTTAGTCTGTTGGTTGAGAGCTTAGACTTCAAACTAAGAGGTCTTGAATTCGAGTCTTTCTATATATATTGTGTGCGTGAATTTATCTTAAATAACCTAAATGTCTCAAAAAAAATTCTCCCATACAATACACCTAGTCAATCAAATCTATTTTGAAATAATAATAAGAAGTCAATGAAAAATAAAATTAGGACAGATTGATCGGTTTTCCTTTTGTTTTCACTACTATTTTCTCTGTTACCGTTACTGTAGGTTGATGTATGGATCGACGGCACTTTTGGCTATGGGAACTCATCTCCCTGTGTTCTTTCTCTCTTTTCATTTGTTTGTTTTTTTATGTAGGGTTTAGGGTATTTTGAATCTAGAATATTAAAGTAGACAAAAAGATTTATATATTTTAAAAATAAATTTGAAATTCACTTCTAACTTATTTTGAATTTATTTAAAATTCATCCATTATAATCCAATTTAAAGTAAAATTGATGTCATCCACCACCACCCTTCTGTCTCCGCCACCACTATTTTTATCATTTTACTATGCACATTTTCTTACTTCAAATCAAATAAAAAAAATTTCCCTCTAAATATTAAAAAAAAAAAACTAGTGGTGGATCTGCCCATTGGAGTAGCTCCCGTGCAAGATATGATTAGATAGAGTCGCCTTAGATTGTTTGATTATATAAAACTACGATCTTCTGATGATCAGATTAGAAAAGTACTTTCATATCATAAAATTTCTTATTCATATTATTGTCTCATAAAATTTCTTACATTCAAATGATATTTTTTTTAATATGGGAGTAAAGGTTGTTCGTTTAATACTAAAATAGAGAAATATAGAAAGAAAAATTAATTAGATAAAAATACTCTAATTAAAATTTTAATTATAGTAAGATTTAAATTTATTTAATTATTAAGATATAATATTTATTTTAATTAAAATTTTAATCAAAATATTTGACTAAAAATAGATCATAGCTAAGACCATCTTTTCTCTAAAATATTCTTTGTGCAAATATTATAAACGATTTATTTATCAAAACCATTTCCTTACAAGCATGAAAATAATTCCAATAATAATTATAAATTTTATTTTATTAAACTAATAATTTTTTATATTACAATAAACCTAATTTTATCACAATTATCCTGATTTTTTTAAGTTGCTGAGCAAATAAATTTTTTTTTTTTTTTCAAAACTCAGATTACAATTTTAAAAAAAAATTATCATAAGAGAAGCTGCAGCTAAGTTCCATTTGCATTATTAGTCATAATTCTTCTTCCTAAAATAGAAAAAAACAAGCTTATATAATATTGATAGTCATCAATCATCAATCACCCAACAGCTCTCAGTATTTTATCAGTAGGACAAGACCCTATAAAAGGAAAAGCTTTTAGCAGGTTATAGTCTCTCTGACAACACCTTAATTACACTTCAGTTTCTTCTTATAACAATTTCATTCTTGTGAATTTAATTTATGTTTATTTGAATTAAAATTTTATTTAGTTTTTTTAAAGAAAAAGCAATTATTTAATTTAAATTATGAATAGAAACTGTATATTAAATTTTTTTAAAAGAAGCTAACTAGCCCAATAAAATAACGAATTCTATTGAATACACCAAATTATTTGACATATTTAAAATAAGTTAAACAGTTTAACTCATTTAATGGAATGTGTCATACTGTTTGACGCATTCTATTCCATTGAATGTGTCTTTCAGTATGACACATTGCTACAGTTTCACATGGCTGATAAAGTGGCATGGTTGGTGTGAATGCATCAATTTATTTAACTTGTTTGTTCCGTTTTAACCTTTACAGGCTCCTACTTTATATATCCATGCTTCTTATTTTAAAAAATTCTTTTATTTTAGCACCATTTAATTAATATTATTTTATTTGCTATTATAATTAGTATGAATATTTGCAATACTTTGATAGGCCTGCAATGAAATTGCAATATAATTATTATATATATATTGCTTGATGTCTATCATCATTGTTTATAAAATTAGTGGTTAAATTATTGTAAATAAAATAATTTTGATTATGATTGCAAAAATCAATTTTTGCTTTTTTTTAACAGTTTAAAAGTAATAGCTAAATCAAATTGTAAGTGATGTCTAAAAAAATAAAATAGTTATATGTGCCTTAAGTTGTAATAAGTGATGCTCGTAATATAATCGATTTAAAATAAATAATTCGATAATTTTGTAATTTAGCATAGTTATATTATTATATGTGACTTCAGCTTTAACCAAATAGTGACTACAAATAAAATTGATCAATGTATTTATAAATATGAGTTTTATTTATAAAAAATATTTGTCATCCAATTTTTATATAAAAAAAAAGATAAAAACCCAACAAACAAATTGTATTATTTGCACCTCAATTACTTAAATTAAAGCAAATCATATTGAATAAAAACATGATTATAACTAAACAATAGTCCATTTTTTATTGAGTTTTCTTTGTTTCCTTAATGATAGTCTAAATGGATTCCTTGAGGTTGCCTAAATTTTAGAACAACTTTTAGCTTATTATACTTTTACTTATTTTTATTCCTAAGTCATTATGTCATTTTTCATTTGAATAATTATGTTGGCCATTTGGCAACCTTTTTATAAAATAAAAAAAAATACAAATCAGAAATTTTTTGCAATTTTTTGATGAAAGTGTTGAATCATTTTGCATTTTTAGGAAAATTTGTGAAATAATTTAATATTTTCATTAAAAAATATAAACTTAATCTTTTATTTAATTAAATTTGGCATCCGCTTCTATTTAATGATTCGGCTGGCCATCACTTTTGGTCACCGTCTTCACCGCTGTCTTTGAGTTCCTGCCCTTTGATTCTGCTATCATGCGGAACAGTCTGTGGAACGCCATTGTGATGGCTGTAGCTCTTGTTCAGCTAAGCTATTCCATGGATTCGGAGCCCCAGCTCTCCATTGGAGACAAGATAACCAAGCTTCCTGGCCAACCGAACGTCACATTTGAACAGTTTTCAGGGTACATTACAGTGGATGAGAGGAAGCAGAGGTTTCTTTATTACTACTTCGCCGAAGCAGAATTGGATCCATTGTCGAAGCCTTTGGTTCTTTGGTTAAATGGAGGTAAAGATGAGACTAAAGTCCCCAACACAAAAAAAAAAAAAGTTCTGTTTTTCTTTCATAAAGCAAAGCAAAGAGTAAAGTTAAAAGACATGATAAGAAGGAAAAGGATAATCTTTTTTCTCTGTCTTCCGGATGTTAACTGTTGTGCTCCATTTTTACAGGTCCTGGCTGTTCTTCAGTCGGTGTTGGTGCCTTCTCCGAAAACGGACCTTTCAGACCGAGCGGTCGAGTTTTGGTGAGAAATGAGTATAGCTGGAACAAAGGTACCTTTACCTGGCATTTTTTTTTCCGTCTTTGGCTTCCTTTTGATTCAAAATCCAAGCTTTACCTTTGTTTCATCTCTTTTCATAGAGGCGAACATGTTGTATTTGGAAACCCCAGCAGGAGTTGGGTTTTCTTACTCAATGGATAGCTCATTCTATGAAAACGTGGATGATAAGCTGACAGGTAAGATCTTTTACATCTATGTCGTCTTCCCTTTCCCTCTTGAAGCTTGTGAATCCTTTTGGCATTTGAATAATTGCAAATGCTGATTCGATCTGCTTTAGATTCAAAGGTCTTACTTTGAGTCCAGAAATGAAATGGCTTTTTGTCAAGTTTTTAAGGCAAAGTGAAGCCTCTGAAACTTCTTTTGCTTTTGGGATCTTAAAGCTAGGGACAATCTCGTGTTCCTGCTTCGGTGGTTCTCCAAGTTCCCCCAGTATAAAGATAGAGAACTCTACATTGCAGGAGAAAGCTATGCAGGTCATCTCTCTCTCTCTCTCTCTCTCTCTCTCTCTCTCTCTCTCTCTCTCTCTCTCAGCTGAACAGGTTGTCTTTCCATTCATAGGGCATTATATCCCACAGCTGGCCAATCTCATCGTTCAGTACAACAAGAAAGAAAGGACATTTAATCTAAAAGGAATAGCTGTGAGTCAAGTTATGCCCTTGTTTTCTGTTTGTATATTTCACTGATCTGAACAATTCTGACAGTGCCGTTCTTCATGATTACCAATTTCTGCAGCTGGGAAATCCTGTGCTCGAATTTGCCACCGATTTCAATTCAAGAGCAGAATACTTCTGGTCGCATGGCTTGATATCTGATTCCACATATAATATCTTCACCACTACCTGCAACTATTCAAGATATGTGAGTGAGTATTACAGGGGGTCTCTTAGTTCAGTCTGCTCTAAAGTTATGAGCCAAGTGACCAGAGAAACCAGCAGATTTGTTGATAAGTATGATGTTACACTTGATGTCTGCATCTCATCAGTTCTTTCTCAATCTAAAATTCTCAATCCTCAAGTAAGTAGACCTGGAAAGCTCTTCTGATGTACAAATTTCTGATAGAAAGTTCTGAGTTCTGTATTTTTTTTCTTAAATTTCTTTTGTTTCAGCAAGTTAAGGAAGCTGTAGATGTCTGTGTAGAGGATGAGACTCTAAATTTTTTGAATAGGAAAGATGTGCAGGAAGCATTGCATGCTCGGCTTAACGGTGTGACGAGGTGGACAGTTTGTAGCAGGTAACTAGAAAAGTTTTCTTGTTTATAATGTAGTTCAGAAGGTGAGGTATTTTCTTTCTACTTTCTCTTATCTTGCTTATAATGGAGGTAACTGGGGCAAATTATTACGTCTGGTGTCCGGATTTTTCCGGACACCAATTCAGATGCGTCACATCACCTAAATATATGAAGTCCCAATGTATTTGGGTGATGTGGCACGTCTGCATTGAATGTCCGGACGTAATAATTCGCCGGTAACTGGATGGATATTACTTGGATATCTTCCAACTGTTTATCAATTACTTTCCTTTTCTATGAATGGGGAGCAAAATGATTCAGTTTATCCTTTCTCCATGAGAATCCGTCCACAACTTTATAAATATTAATATTAATAAGTTATTGTATTAATAAGATTAAAAACTTCGAATTGTAGCAGTCATGATAGGTGAATTTTTTTTTTAAGGAAAATAAATATTATCAAGCTTATTATTACTAGACGTATTTAAATTGATAAGTTATTGTATTAATATTATCACTTATCCTTAATATCTATTAAAAATTTATATTATTAATATATATGAATTGTGGTATGCATGAAAATCTTACTATTCTTTATTATAATTTCATTATTGCTTTAGGAATTGTTAGATTTGATGAAAAGTGAGTGTAGAGTAATTTAGTGTTTGGTTTGATTAAAAAGGAAGATTGAGAAAAATCTTAGTAAATTCTAAGTTCATTTTGTATTTATTTTTTATGTATTCATAATTTGCATGTTTTCCCCCAAATTTTAAATATATCGCAAGATGACTTCCTATGGACGGCCACCTACTACTATTGCTCATCAACTCTGATCGCCGTCTCTGGTGGTTGTTTCCTGTGACCACTGTTAGCCAATGCCACTAGCTGCCACCACTAGCTGTCCTTTGCAACCCTCTTGTTGGCCACCATGGTGCGCCACCACAAGCAATAGAACGTCGTTGTCAACCACCTGCCATTGTTCACTACCAATTGCCATTGTCATCATCGACCACCATCAACATTGTGCTTTACATTATATTCATTTTACTTGCAAATATTTCAGATGCCTTGATTTTTTTTTTTTTTTTTTGCACTATATTTTAGTTAACTCTGCATTCCCTTTTCTGCAAACTAGATGTAGCTTTTTGGAATTTCTCTCTAACTATCCTCATTGAAAATCGTTAATGAACTGGGCATGCAAATTTCTTTCTGAATGCGAGTTAGCATTGAATATGAAAAAGAGCCGAGGATGAATGCTAGAAGCTCAAAGAAAGAACAATATGTTTTGAACTAGTATTAATGCAGTTTCAGCGTGTATTATTTACTGCATGTAAAAATAACAAGTCATCTCTATTTGTTCTTTAGTGTGCTGGAATATGATCTACTCAACTTGGAAATACCAACCATAAACCTTGTTGGTTCGCTGGTCAAGTCTGGAATACCAGTGCTTGTGTACAGGTAAAGAAGCAATCTAAATTTATTGGAAGTTTAGGTTAGTTCAGTGTAGCTTTTGCTTCAAATTACTAAATTTATGTTATCATACTTATCAATCCAGTGGTGATCAAGACTCTGTCATTCCCTTGACTGGGAGCAGAACGCTTCTGCATAAATTGGCACATGAACTTGGATTGAATACAACAGTGCCTTACCGAGTTTGGTTCGAGGGGCAACAGGTGAACTTTTTTGTGCATCAACAGCCTATTTTCTCATATTATGATGGCTTCATTTGGGACTGTTTTCTTAATGTTTCTTAAAATAACTTTTTAGTACAAAATTTTAACTTTAAAAAGCAATAAGAAAGCCGTCCCAAACGAAGTCATAGTTTGTAGGGATCATTTGGCTGCTTTTATAGATAGAAAATATGTTTTACAATATCATGATTTTATTTTGCTTACCCGTAGTAATTAACATTGGATATTTCTATTGGAGGATTGAATCCAGAACCCTGCATTGGGTACTCATACCCACACCCATTCAGTATGAGTGGGTATGGGTACGTCCATGACCTTGTAGGTGGGTATGATTGGGTAATCAATATCGGGGTATAAATCGATTTACATTGATAATGGCCGTAGATCTTATATTATTGCAATCTTTACTACGTAGTGTGCGGTAAATTTTGATATGCTGCTTAAAAGTTTGTAATCATAACAAATGGCAACAAGCCTCAAGGACAGCGGTCCGTGACAGACTGTGTTCAAAAAGTATGAAAAGTGGGTGGGTATAGGTGGGTACGGCATCCCGAATGTCACCATAGGCGGGCGTGGGTGGACAAAGCCCGTCCGAGTAAAGCATTGGGTACCCAACCGATACCCCATGTAGGGCTTTTATTGAATCCCTCGCCACTTGCAACAATGCCAATGAAAAAAACTATTAATTTTTTACACAATGCATCAAAATGAGCAATTTTTTCAATTCTGCGTGTTCTTATGAGCTCTAGTTGTTCCATCACTTTGCCAGGTAGGAGGCTGGACTCAAGTGTATGGCAACATCCTCACTTTTGCAACCATAAGAGGAGCTGCACATGAGGCTCCATTTTCACAGCCAGAGAGGTCTCTTCGTCTCTTTAGAGCTTTTCTGCAAGGTAGACCACTCCCAGAAACATTCTAACTTCCTCTCCCTGAAAGCAGACCTTCCTTTCTCAAGTTCAAGAGAGTGTGGATGTGTTAATGTTTTGTGCATGTTAAGTGAAGTTTAACTAGCATTCGTTTTCTTGTGCTGATGAAGCTTTTGTGTGTAATCTGTAAGTTGAAGAAATTCTGTGAAAGTATTATTAGCGCACAAATGTGTGTTTCAGATTAGTTTCCAGCTTTTGATTCAGATTTGTTGGCTAGTTTAGGCTTCGTGCATAGTGAAATTATTCTATGTAGATATGAACGTCATTCGGAGGTAAATCAGAACGTATCATGTCAACCGTATGTTGTGTACTGTGGTGTACCGGGTGATGTAGCGTGTTTTAATTTGTCTCCGGACAATCTGGTGTCCGCACAAAATAATTTCTTCTTGCAGGATAATTTTTTTTTTATTTTTTAAACTAAATTTTAGGCTTGTTTGGAATAGCTCTAAATCACAATTTTTTTTCTTTTTTTACTTTTAAGAGATTTTTCATTAAAAATAGTTTTATAAAGTAGGAAAACAATTGTCGGAAATAAGCAGGAATTTGCTATTGAGGTTTAATAAGTTAAGAATATATTAAAGTTCTTTCTTATGTCATATCTAAGAAGGATTGGATTTGCAAGCGTTGGATTCTAATTTTTTGGAATGACATAAGAAACATATTAATGATTTTTTTATTGATATTAATGGTTATTAATTAATATGAAGATGGAGATTAGGGAGTTAAAGGAAGTTGAGAATATTTATTATAGTTGCATATATTTTTGAAAGTGTAAGTTAATATGATTTGAGATAATAATGTCATATTTTTTGTTGGTCATAAACTTATAACTATAATTATATTAAATTACTTAAATGATTATAGGCTTAATGGTTTTGTCTTTTTATTTACAAATTATCATTTATATGCAAATTAAAATGCACCGTATAAAGAATAAAATTTAAACCCAATGAATCCAAAATAACTTTGTAAAAATCAATAAAAAAATTTAACTGTTAAAATAACAAATCATTTAAGGATTAAAAAACAACCTTTCCAATAAACCAATGCATGCCATTCAATTCTAAATTCAACTAACAACATCAACTCCAAAATTTATACTACACTTATTATTGCCTAATCTTTTCTCCGAAAAAAATAAAAATAAATAACAACAAGCATTTACCCCATTACATAAAGTTGATAACATGAATAATTTTTTTTTTTTTTTCATTCTTGGGGAGTATGAGAATTACAAGAGGCGTAGACTAACCTATAGAAATTGCCTCTATATGATTTAGGACTCCAACAAGCATTCTTGAATAGTCAAGGTAAACATATAATAAAGAAAGATTATAGGCCAACCGGCCCAAAAGGGGTATTGGTCTTATCTTATTTACCAATATTTGGTGAATGTCGAGTTTTTACTAAGACTTGTCAGTGAAATCAAAACTTTTGATGTTACTTGACATACAGAATTTCTATATGTTTATTATGGATTTGTAACTCCTGACATCAATAAACCTTTTAGATCTTATTAACCAAAGAGATATGGCTTAGGGTTATGGTTAGTTCAACTCCAATCAAGAATCCACAGGGTATCCATAGAATCTTCGAATACGTTCGCCCCAACCTTCAACTCTTCTTTTTAGGTTCATCGATATTGAATCAATTGAATAAATTTCTAAGATTTGTTCATTAAGAGGAGAATTTTCATTCAAATCTAATAAAAAAATTATTTTTTTAATACTATCTAAGTCTTATTAAGTCTATCTCTTCATTTTTTTATATCAGTCAAATTTAATACGTCTATTCTCCTAATTGGGTCATTAGAATGCCAATGTTTTATGTGATCAAACCATCTAAGATGACTTTCTCTCATCTTATCTATCTCTAGAGCTACTGCCACCTATTCACTTATATAATTGTTTCACATTGTATCTCTACGAATAAAATCACTTATCTACTTAAACATCCTCATCTCTACAACACTTCACTTAAATTTATGCCACTTTTTTAATAGCCAACATTATATGCCATAGAATATTACAAATCTCACGATCTTATAGAATTTTCCCTTTTATTTTGAGGATACTTTTTCTATCACATAATTGGCCCAATGCTTTTCTCTACTTCAACCACCTACAACTTGAATTCTATTAATAATATGCTCATCTATTTCATTATCATGCATTTGATTTTAGATCTGCTCAAATGAAAACTTTAACTCTCTAAGGGGTTGTTTGGTAGTAGCACCAAGGATTTCATTTAAGTAGGATTTCATAAATCCTCTAAATTCGGATTTACAAAATCCTAAAAGCTGTTTGGTAACATTCCTGATAAATCATGTGTATGTTTGTCTATTCAATTTATGATTTAAGGCGGTTAAGAGATTTGACATGCATTTCTTGGATAATTAAAGTACAAGAAGTTTAAATAAAATACAACAAAGTTTCATTAGAAATACAACAAAAACACATAAATTGAATTCTGAATAAATTAAAGTTGATTCCCTCTTTACAGCAATATTGTCACCACATATTTTCTCAAAGATATATAAAAAAAATCTCAAAGATATCATACTGGTGGAATGGATTGCGATGAAACTTCGTCAGCTTTGCATTGTCCTACTATAAAAAATCTCTTAAGACGTGTTTGAGGCATATGAATGGATCATCAAATTATATTAAGCAATCTATACCTCGATATCTCATCCCATATCTAATTAGTAACTACGGGCAAATGAAGAGCTTCATCCCAACCCCATCCACTTCAGTGGGATAGTTGGAAACTAGCACGAAAGTCATCTTTCATTTTTTGAACCTAGTTTATGCAGTAGCTTCAATATAGTTTCCTTCAACTCGACGATTTAGTGAACAAACCAAATCCTTCCACGTCCTTCCTCAATATGCCATCCTTAATATTGCCACACAAAAATTGCTCCAACAATAACTCTCTAAAAAGATTTCATTATGATGATCTGGCCAACTAGGTGTACTCAAAATACTTTTATTAGTATTTCCCAACTTCACATTTAAATCATCCATGATGTCCACTTGAATACTAGCTGATGATCATTGCGTCGCTTTGCCTTTGAAACAACGATTCATTCTTGGTACACAAATTTCAAAGAATATATTTTAATAGCGTCCATGGAGGTCATTTAGCATTGATAACTACAAATTCTAATATACATATTTACCATTTGATGAGTGAATTTTCTTGTATTTGATCCAGGTATAAGCTATGTAATTCATGTTTCATGATTCATTGTCATTTGACTTGATTTATCTAATGCAAAACTAATATGATGAGGGAGTAAGGAATATTGTTTACAATTTGTTTCTTGATAAGTTTCACTACTAGTCACATATTCTCCAAGTGTCATGTTAATAGCACAATGTCAAACTACCACACCACTCTGACAAAGGGAATATCACAAGACAAAAATATAATAGGCTTTTAGGCGTACAGATGAGCAACTACAACAAGTGTGAGTCATGAATCGAAGGAAAAATTAGACAAAAGGCGAATTGAAGGAAATACCGGACAAAAAAAAAAACGATGGATAACCTAGCATAAAAGACCAGAATGCGAAAGTTATAGGTCATACCTACTAGCAATCTTCATCACGCTGCTGGATTCCTGGGGCGCCTAACCTTGTGATTGCAAGGAGATGTGAACGGTATACCTTATAATAGCAAGAAGTAAGGGTGCAAGTGAGCTGAGTTGGTTCGCAGGCCGGCTCGAGCTCGACATGTTTATGGGATCACGAACCGAGCTTATCAAGCTTACGAGTCGAGCTCGAGTTCGAGCTTGTTTGCTAAACGAGCTAGAGTTTGAGCTTGAGCCGGCTCGACTCATGAGCTCATGAGCCGACTTGAATAATTATTAAATTTAAATATTAAAAAAATAGTAAATGTTATGTAAATCATGCATGTAATTCAAAGTTACCACGTATTACAACCCAAATTTTTTGTGATTTCTCAAATCCCGCATGTATTTCAAAGTTCCCTCCAGTATAAAGATAGGGACAATCTCGTGTTCCTGCTTCGGTGGTTCTCCAAGTTCCTCCAGTATAAAGATAGAGAACTCTACATTGCAGGAGAAAGCTATGCAGGCCATCCCTCTCTCTCTCTCTCTCTCTCTCTCTCTCTTATTTTTAAAGGCCGTGCAAGGCTTGAACTTAGTGAACTAGAAGGCGAATCGAACTGTGCCGGAAGCTCGACAAGCAGCTCGAACTCATTTACAATGAAACAAGTCGAGCTCGAGCTTGACTAGAGTTCGAGCTCGAGCTTGACTAGAGTTCGAGCTCAAGCTCAAGTTCGGTATTTGACTTTTGAGCTCAACTCAAACACCCCCTGACTCGAGCTCAACTCAACTCGCTTGCACCCCTAACAAGAAGCAAGGAAGAGAGAGTATCAATGACCATGACTTGTGAGCTATTTTAAAGAGGAACATATGAGGAGAAAAGAAAAAAAAACTAAAAATAAAGGTGCAAACAAGCCAAGTCGAATTTAGGACTTATCAAACTCAACTCCTTAGTCAAAAAGAGAGCTCAGGCTCAAGGTCATTGCAATGTAATCAAGCTAAAACTGACTCACAAGCTATGTAAGTTTTAAAAATTCAGAAAATATTTTTAAAACTTAAACAAAATTTTAAAACTTAAAAGAGATTTAGAAAAAAAAAAGTAATGTTTAACATTTAAATAAAACTTATTCATTTTTTAAAATGTTTAAATTTAATAAATAAAATAAAACTATTTTTTATTATTTGAGCCAACTAGGGAGCTCACAAACCAAGCATGCTCAAGTTTAGGATCAAGCTAAACAAGCTCAAGTTCGAACTCAAGCTCGACCCATGAGCTTGATAAAATCAACTCGCAAGCTCATAAACAAGTCAAACTCGAGTGCCTTAGCTCACTTACACCTCTAGTTACAAATGATCAAACTTCTTCCCTCTCGTACCAATAAAGCATTAAGCCCATCAAATCAAAGAATATAAAAAATCTAGGATTTACAATAAAAAGATATAATTTTTTCATCTATGGAGGCTTTCGTTTACCATGAGATTTGGTTTTGCATTTTAAGCCATTTGGTTGGATTTTACTCAAATCCAGCCTAACTCCAACTACCAAATAGCCCCTAAGATTGACCTCCATAATTCAAGTTTTTATAAGTTTATCTCTACTCTTATTAACAAGAAAAATTTCATCAACCAAAAGCTTACACCATCATACATCTTGCAAATGTCCAGAAAGAACATCCATGACAAAAGTAAAAAGATATAGGCTTAAAACTGTTCCTTGATATTATTCCAACTAAAATAAAAAAATATTTCATCAAACTTCCTTGTGTTTGAACACAATTAATAACACCAATATACATACCTTGAATGATTTGAATGTGTAAGCATATTATTAATCCCTTGCCTTTTTTTTTTCCACTTTTCAAAGCACTTTTATTAAAACTTTATCATACGAAGATCATCCTTATCTATCTATATACTTCTTCATTAAACTAGCAGACTGGTAAAACTTACCAATTGAAAATTTAAGATAATGACAATTTTGCTAATCAAGACAGGGCATCAAGAAGGATCATTTTATGCAAGATGATTAAAAATCTGAATGTATGAAGGGGCTTGAGCCTAAAATGATTATGGGATGTGATTAAAAAAATCATCATATGAAATCAAAACAACCAAAATCCCCATTTTAATTGAAGAAAAAAAAAAAAAAAAAAAAAAAAAAAAAAATAAAAAAAAAAAACAAGGCTGCAAATGAACGTAATTTGAAATAAAATCAACATTTCATTTTGGTTTTAAATCTAAATTCAACAAACATCACAGTATGAATTTATAATAGAACATGAAGTTTATCAAAAATCTATCACTAATCCTAAGCCTTACAAAATGTATAAATCAACTCAGTAAATCACATGAAGTATACTAAATTCTTGAATATTTAAATATCGCCAAAATTCTTAACATGTTTACCTATCAAATCTATAAAACAACCAACTGAGCCAAAGCCAAAAACTAAAATAAATTGAAATAAACATTTGATCCACACCACAGAGAAAATTTAAGCTAATCAAGTAAAGTGTACTGCATTAATCATTCAAATATGCGAAACAGTGTTTTTTTTCCAATTCCCTTCAGTGGCTAGCATTACACTAAACAGTCACAGTGAAACCCCAAAAAACACCAACAGAGCACTATTCCATTGCAAAAGACGATAAGCTTCGATATATCCCAAACAGAACGATAGACATATTACAAACCCCAAGAACCGAGCGGATTCTGAATCCGCATAAGCTAACCACCAAAACCATAGAGGGTGCGACCCTGACGCTTGAGAGCATACACAACATCCATAGCAGTGACGGTCTTCCGGCGAGCGTGTTCGGTGTAGGTCACCGCATCGCGGATGACGTTCTCAAGAAAGATCTTAAGGACGCCTCGCGTCTCCTCATAGATCAGGCCACTGATTCGCTTGACGCCGCCGCGGCGAGCAAGGCGGCGAATCGCCGGCTTAGTAATACCCTGGATATTGTCTCGGAGAACCTTGCGGTGGCGCTTTGCTCCCCCCTTTCCCAAGCCCTTGCCGCCCTTTCCTCGGCCCGACATTGTTTCTAGCTTCGAAGATCTGATATCTTTTTCGCTTTTTCTGATCGATTAGTGTGAGGGTGATGGGTTAGGGAATTTATCGAGGGTGAAGTGGCTTTATTTTAGTCTTCAACTGTTGTTAGCCGTTGGATGGAGGAGCGATCCTGGGTTAGACGTTTCTTCTGCTATTGTCCGTCCGATTGAGAACGTGGATTTCATTGATAGAAGCACAGCTCCAATACCTGGATCAGGTATTAATGCGATGCGTGGAAATAAAAATATAAAATAAGAAAAAATAAATAAATAAAACAATTGTTATTTAACACTTTTATTTATTTTAATACTTTTATAATTAACATTGTTATTTAAATCAGCACATGATTTGATGAATCTAATTAGGGTTAACTCTAAATTTAACTTATTAGGATCTAATAGAAAAATTAAACATAAACTATGTACTTCAACCTCTATTTACATAGAATCATATAGAAATAAAAATATACACATCACAAATTGCATTTCTTCCCAAAAATAGTTAATTGCAACCGTCCAAGAATAAATCATTAAGATACATGAACAAAATTGGACTATCAAAAGAATACCGTGGGTACCTGACTACATCAGTTCCCGAAGGATTCCAATCCGAACAATGCCAACTTAGCTGGTTCTTTTCCTTTTTCTTGAAATATCAGATATTCTAATACGAGCAATGAAATGCTTAGTAGGCTATCTCGAAAATTCTATCATAGCGATCAAAATTCATAGTTATAGTTTTACAAGCAAATGATTTGAATGACTTTTACAATTATAATAAAAAATAATTTAATACTTATAAAACATTAACATCAAGTTACTTATGCTTAGTATTTAAGTTATCAAAAGAATGGCTGGCATAGGTATGACTTGAACTTAAACATATATAAAAAAAGTGATTCATAATATGTTATTTAAACTTAAACATTATAAACATTAACATGTATTTCACTTGAATGTCAATGTATAGTTATGAACATGAGCATCACTTACACTTGAACTCATTTCACTTAACATAATATGCAACACATGAATTGTGATATGGACATGTCTTGATACCTGCTTATAACTTCATTTCCATTTGTTTCTCCCTTAGTCAGTCCACATGTTCAAGGCAAATGGAGCAAATCTAAGCTTGAATATCTCTTATAATTCTACTTTCACTTATAGCTACATTGATCCTCTCACACCTGCACAAAGCAAATGGACCCAGAAATAAAAATTAATATAACAGAATAAAGAGGGCCCTTGTAACATTACTTGTAGTGCACTTAAATATCTCTCACATTAGAACTTCCGTCATAATATGACATGTATTTACAAAATTGGTATTTTTAATCTAACATTTAAACACTTAACATGATGTCATGAACATGCATGAATTGTCACATATATGATAATCGTATAATTTGAATACACACATGACATTTACCATTTTAAAAACTATTAACAAGAAACATTTCAAATATTATTTTAAGACTTTTAATCAACTGTAGCCAATGCTAGGAATGTCATATTCAACATAAAATAATTTATATTTTTTACGGGCAAAATCAAACAGTAAAAATTTTGATTTCTTATAATTACAAAGAAAAGAATAAAATATTCTATAACATATTAGAAATCATATAGTGAAAAGCTTCTTTAACTTATTAAAATCATATTTTATCCCTTAACTTTTTCTACAAACATCAAAATTAAAATTAGAAATAGGGTTTTGAAGCCTACCTTGAGGTGGATGTTTTCCATAACAAATATGAATGAAAGGAGTTTTTATGCTTCCACACTCTATTGACTAATTGCAGCAAATTCCAATAAAAGGGTCATTTTCTTAGGGCATACTCAGCAAGAGTGGAGTTCCATTCTTTTGAGCAGGGGCGGATCCAGCTTTTTTTTTTAGGGTGGGTAAAAAAAAAGAATTCGAGGATTGGCAAAAATGCTTATGATTGATAAAATTAGGGCAAAACATATTTTCTAGGGAGGGGTGCGTAAAATATCCAAAATATTTCAAATTATCCCCTCTAAATATTTTTTAAAAAAATTGAGGGTGGGCATTTGTCCACCCTCACTCCTTGGTGGATTCGCCTATGCTTTTGAGCTTCCATAATTTCATCATCGATAAAAATAGCCCAATCATTGGCACACGGGATAAAGTTTGGGGTGTCAAAACAGGTTGATGGGTCCATTTTGGATTCAACACCAATAAAGCTCGAACCTAACACGTTCAATAAATATGTCAAAAACACCAACCCGAGCCTAACCTATTAACCCATTTTTGGTAAATTTTTTTTTATAAACTATTAATTATAAAATTTAGGATATCTAATAAAAAAAATAAGATTATATACCCACAAGTAAAAAATAAGAAAAAATATATATTATACATATTATTTTTTTGGACAAAATGGGTTTGTGGGTCAATCTGAGCTCGACATATTTAATAAACTGGTTGTAAACTTAATCCAAATAAAACATGTTTAATAAATAGGTCAATCTGAACCTACTTTTTTGCTAGGTTAATGAGTCGGGTCATTTATTAACTCCCCTAGACAAAGTTAAGAGAGAAATTAGAATTACTAGGTAGCTGATTGGTAAGCTAATCTCTCTAGTTAAGCGCATAAGCTACCTAATTAGAAGGGCCCACACCTCATTTGCCATTAGGACCTAAAAATATCCAAACAAAAGTGTGATGTCCCACATGTACTGATTGGGGAAATCTATAGAAGTAAAATAAGATAGGAGATAAGGAGATAACTAAGGGAGAAGGCAACCACATGAAATCCTAGCAAAGAAAGAAACCCAAACATCAGCAATATCTCATTACTTGAGAGAGTTCAAAATTTAAAATTTTATGAGTAATTTTGGCTATGACTTTCAACAAACAAGACATATTTGCAAATGAACAATTACTTGAATAAATTAAATAATTTTCTCGCTAAATTTCAATTCTATACATCACTTAATGATGAAATATCTCAGAAAAAAAAAGAACTTTTATGTCATTTTATTAGTAGGAAGCTGTTCACTTGCCAAAAGTGTCACCCATTTTCTTATTTTTTACTTCTAATAAAATTACTATAAATAAATTTCAACACAAAATTGTATACTGAGAAATTATATATCTTTGCTGGCATTTCTTAAAAGCATATTTTTTTTCTCTAATTGATTGTCTTCTAACACTACAATTAGATGTAATTAATTATAGAAAAATTTACATAATTAAATAGGATTTTTAACAATGTGGTCTCTTCTCTCTCAATGATTTTCTTTCAGCTTTTACATTCTTGCAAGAGCCCTTAGAATGTACCTAGGAAATGTGATGTATGTGTCAGAGTCTATAAAAGTATATTTATATATAGATCGAGTTGTACAGTGTCTAGTGTTGTAAAAGAATTAGAATTACCTGCTTATACATGCAAGTGAGGCCCAAAAAGACGATATCCATACCTTCGGGAATAATATCTTTTGAGAACCCACAGAATATTTAGACATCGATGACACTAAGCACGTGTATATATATATATATATATATATTCTAGGCTTAGAATCCAAATTTGTTGTGGTGGAGCCAGTCCACCTTTCTTTCCTGCAAAGCCAGAGTCTGCTGTAAGGAGAGATAAAACTGCCAAGCCGGACCACCAAGTGACATTGGACTTTCATCTAACCTTATTTGTCACTAGACTTCAATCATATAGTTGACATTTATAATCTGATCTCCCTTAAGGATGAGTCAACCCACTATACTCTACTCAAATTCTAGTGAAATCACTTTCAACTGGGCTAGGCCCCATGGTTTTTCCCCTTTCTACGGTTTTCCACATAAAAAATCTTATATTCTCTGAGTGTGATTTAGATATTCATACAACTCTAAGATGTAGAATTATAACTCTATCGCTGCGTATATTCTAGCCAACGACTATTTGGATCCGTCTGTGGGAACCTCCAATCTAACTATTCTAAGCACCACTTCAATGGCCAACAAGTGTAGAAATCACATTTTTGTAGCCTCTTACTCCAACACACACAAATCTAGGAATCAGTCTATGAACCACGGATGCCATGTGTTGGCCTCTTTTCTCCCGGTGGGTGAAACCCTACCAGGGAAGAGACATCAGGACCATCCCTAGAAGATCACATCCAAAAAATGGAGGAATCTCATAATGAGATCCTTAAACTCCTACGAGAAACTCGGCAACTGGCGCTAGCACCATAGAAAAAGATTCTTCTCCCTCGAGATCCACCACGGTTCAAAGATGTTCAACCTGAACATATTCATGTCAAGATTCCTCTTCCTCCACCAAGGATGCATCCTCCAACACTTCAAGATAATAAGCGTAATGACACAATAAGTTATATCAATCCTTCACATGCAGTTCGACAACCTTGCATTCCTCTGGATGTCCCCGAGGACTTAGCCCAACAGCTCATTGTTGAGCTCCCTCGTAATGCCCTACGATATGAACTACGAAGATTAGTCTGTGAGAGTTTTCCAGAAGAGTTTCCCATGGGAGGTGTAAGCTAATCCCTTTGTTAGTGGGACTTCCAAGAGTCATCACCCCTGACTGAATCTATCCTTAAACACCCATTCCGACAGGATTCAAACTACCAAGCATCGATCCCTACAATTGAATATTTGACCTATATGAGTATATAAATAACTATAGAACCATGATGCATATCCAACGAGCCTCTAACGTGTTCCTCTACTAGGTTTTCTTCTACATCATCAAAGGATAAGCACAAATATGGTTATATTCACTTCCAGCTGGAACAATCCCCATATTTGTCAAATTGGTCAAAGTGTTTGTCGAACAGTTAGTTGCCAATCAAAGAATTGCTAAGGAATATTCTCACCTCTCTGGGATGCACCAAAATGAGGGAGAATAACTTAAAGAGTATTTTAATGATTTTCCACTAAGGCTAAATAAGTTCTAGGAGTGGATCCCAAATTACTTATAGGAGTTTTCCTCGGAGGGCTTCGTCCTGACCTCTTTTACTCAACACTCATGCGAGATACGGTTCATTTGTGTGCTGATCTAATCCATCAT